ATCAGATCAGGGTTTTGGTGGTGGGAACCAAGGCCAGGAGACAGTTTGCAAGGAGATTTCGTGGAAGGAGGACAGAACTTGGTAACTGGTTGACGGAGGAGGGTTGAGTGAGGACGAGGCGATTGGTGGTTTAAATATGGTTAAATATGATCCTAAGTTTACATGCTGTGCTAGGAACCTGGGGTAGGAGGACAGGAAATGCAAATTTTGGGGATGAGGGGAGAAAATGCTTCTCCATTGTCCTAACCCTGGTCCATAACAAACTTCTTTGGGATACTTAAAATATGGCACACTTCATTCAAGGTGTCTGAACACTGTCCCTGGTCTGCAGAACACTCCCCACCCTTGAGTATCCATTGACTAATTTCTCATTTCCTCCAAGAGCCTTTTTTTTTGGGTGGGGGGCACTAACAGGGGATTGAACCCACAGGCCCTTAACCACTGAGCTACATCCCAGTTCTTTTTATTTTGAGGCAGAGTCTCACTAAGTGGCTTAGGGCCTTGCTAAACTGCTGAGGCGGGCCTTGAACTTGCAGTCTCCTTAGTTGATGGATTAGAGGCATATGCTGCCATGCCTGGCTTCCAAGAGCCTTTTTTGAATGCCTAATCTGGGTCAGAAATTCTCTTTTATATTCTGTAGTCCCACATCGTTCCCTTTCCACGCCTCTCGCAGGTGGTTTTGGAATGCCTGACATACCCAACAAGCTGGTCATTCCATGAGGACAGGAGCCACATCTGCCTCATTCTCTGCTTTGTTATTAATCCTGAGTACAGTGCTTGGTACCCAGTGGGCACTTGTCCTGGCATCCAACAACTGCCACTGGCAATAACATTTGGTCAATACTTTGGATCTGGACCTACTCAGATGTGACGGAAGCCCATGAGGCCTCCATGGGGATAGATGATGTGACCCCTCTGTAGATTACTCTAGGCCAGCAGCTCTCAACCAGGGGTGACTTTCCCATGTGGCAGGTCTGGGGCATTTTTGACTACCATGACAGAGTGAGTGTGTGTGCTACTGGCATCAAGAGGGTAGAGACCAGGCACACTGCTGAATATCCCACAATGCACAGGACAGCTTCCCACAACAAAGAACTATCCAGCCCAACTTGTCAATAGTGCCTAAGCTGAGAAACCCTGCTGTGAAGACCAGGGAGCCAGCTGGCAAGGCCAAGTTCCAATGTGGCCCAGTGGCTGCTATGGCCCAATTGAGTAAGAGCAGAAGTTTAGCGGCTGTCACAAGAAATATGGACTTGTGATGTCCAGCCAGGAACCACCTTGGACTGGGCTTCAGTGAAAGGCCCCAACACCTTGGGCGGTTTCCCCTTAACTGAACTCCCAGCCATAAGCCCGGCAGGCCCAGCCTGGCGCTTGCCTCCCTCTGACTCACTCTGCTGGGTTTCTCGGCTCTCTGGTGCAAGGGCACTGCACTCTCTTCCCGCCCCATCTGCCTCGCTGATTATTTTCAGCTCGGCTCGCAGAGGCCCAACGCTGCAATTACTCCCCAACCTCAATGGCTCCTTCTGAAAATAACATTTGGGTCGAAGAAAACCTCAGTCTGGTGGGCTGGATTTTATATGAAACGGTTAAAGCCGTGGGTGTGGGCATGGGGTGGGGGTGGGAACAAGGGAGTGGCCCAGTGGTACAATTAAAAGAATCTGGAAGAAGGGAAAAGGAAGGGAAGTGATGAGAGGGAAGCGGTGGTGGTGGTGAGGGCTGTTGCGGAGCGAAAATATACCTACTGTGCAGGGGTCAAGCCATACGCCAGGTTCCTGTACGCCTCTAATTGAAGGTTTTGTTGGTTGCAATAGCCCCACCCCTCCCCCATCTTTGAAGCCTGGGAAACTCATGTCTGCCTGGGGCCAGAAGAATTAGCCTATGGGCATGCCAATCTTTATCCAAGCTAGTGACCAAATTTTCCAACCCCAAAATAGGAGACACATGGTTTCACATAGGGTATTTTGTTCTCTGTCCTGAAAAAAATGGCATTCTGGGAAATGTAGTTTCAATGCTGATAGGTGGAACTTCTGAGCAGTTCCATGGTCCGCGGAGGAGAGCAGATAGGACTCGCAACAGGATTCTCCGGGACACCAGAGACCCATATGGGTTACTTTAGGGAAGAGAAATGAAACACCAGAAATAGGAAACCTTCTCCGCCCCAGGATGTAGGGGTGAAGAGAGAAATATCTAGAAGCACCTTTTGGCTTCAACAAAAGGCGGAACAAAGCTTAGCTATGGAGTCACTGGACTTGGGTTCAGTTTCAGATAGTACTAACCCCCAGGGACCTCCAGCAGCAGCAGCTGAGGCTCTCTGAGCCTTTATTTTGTCATCTGCTAAGATGGCAGTAGGGACAGAACCTACCTCCTGCGGCTACTGTGAGATGATCAGAGGTGACACACGTGCATTTGACACACACTAAGCAGGCTGGAGCTCAGGGGTGCTGCCCTTGGAAAGAACGCCTGGACGCTGGGTGGGACTGAGTGGGTCCATCCTGCAAGAGACAGATTCTGGAGCCCTGTTCCTTACCCTAGTTATTTCTGCCCATTATATGTCACCAGTTGGGTTTGCCCTATGGGGACCTTTCAGAGCCATGGTGCCCAGGGCAGGTGACCGGGGGAGGCCAGAGGGTCCTTCTGCCTCCTCTGTGGACGTCGCCACCCCTGTGGAGCTGGAAGGAGAGGGCCTGCCTAGTTGTAATGGGTGCCCACGGTGCATCAGCACTGAGCTAGGCGCTGCAGACACACCTGCCAGCAAGGTCGAGGCTCAGTGCTCAGGGATCTCCAGGTTCAGCGAGGGGAGGGGAAGCAGGGAATTATTACACACAGTGGTGGTAAATGCCACAATCCAGGTAAGAAAAAAAGCCGAGAGGACACACTGGAGGGGCCCACACCCATCCGGCCTTGGTAGGAAGGAAGAATCCCCTGAGGAGAGACTTCTAGATTGAGAGAGAAGTCCTGAGTTGGCCAGACAGGAGGTATGGGAAGAAACTATTTCCTTATTGATAGATAAGGAACCTAAAAGGTTCAGGTCCCACAGTGACGGCAGAACTGGTATTTGAACCCTGCTTGTCGTGATTCTCCCTCTCCTTATGCCAATATCCCTGTGCTGCCCAGTTCCCTATCGGCCTTCATCCAGGCCCTGACATTTTCCAGAGACTTGCTCTGGAAAAAGGACTAGGATTTGGATAATCCTACTCCTGGTCCTCCTTGCCTAGGACAGCTATGTACGTAGTGGAATTTGTCTCCTGGCTATGTGATCTTAGGGTAGTTGCTTAACCTCTCTGTGCCTCACTTTCTTTTCCTGTGAGATATAGACAACATCCACCTCCTAAGGTAGTCATGAGGAATTAGAATGCATTCAATGCTTAGAACCCAATAGCTATTATTACCTCCAGAGTTTCAAGACAATGTTAGCTAACATATATACATTTTTAAAATTTCTGAATTTATTTTTCAAGCTGTGGTTTTGCTAATATTATTGCTTAGGTCAAGAATACATTAAAAAAGGGGAATCGATTTAAAGTTAATTTAGAAAAAAAGTTAATAAAATAAAAAAAGTAAATTAAAGATATAATATTGATGGAATGTGGGTAGGAGAAAATCGTAAAGACAATACCTGAATGGTTGATAATTTTGAAAAACAACCTATGATGCCATGTTCCTTCCTTCAAATTAAACCACAGGTCAACGAGGCCTGACTGAGGAGCTTTAGAACCCCGACTGCATCTGAGATTGGGAGGCTCGGGAAGGGAAGTTGAATGCAAAGGCCCAGCTCTGGAAACCAAAAGCCAACTCCGCCACTTCATTCTCCCAGTGCGTTTGGGGGCGATTCGGGCCTCTCTGATTTTTTTTGGATCACTGGGTCAATCAGTCAGCCAATGCCTCGGGAGAAGTTTAATTAAGCTCAGATCGCAGGCGCGAGCTGCCAAAGGTCTCCCCGCCCTCCGGGCCCCGCCTCCAGCACATCTGGAGAAAAGCTCCCCCCCCCCCCCCCCCATCAGCCCGGCGGGGGCAGGGCTGCAGCCCGCGCATGCGCTTCGGTCCGGCGCCAGGCGCCCCACGGCAGGGCTCGACTGCCAGAGCTGCGTTGCAAACTGTTGCATCAGACAGCAAGCAGCCGGCCGGGCAGCCAGGGTTTCTAGGAAGATAGGAAGGGTTTGAGCTCCTCTATGGTCGCTTGGGAGCTCTGGCTGTCACTCACGGTGTTTATAAGCCGGTAACAGGATCCCCTAAAATCTCAAGCTTGCGCGGGTTCGGGGAGGGCTTCTGCCACAGGTGAAACTCGACTGCTTCTGCCCCCGCCCAGCGCAGGCCCCAGGCTGGACCCAGCGAACTGGATTCCGTCTGCTTTATTAATGGCAAAGACCCTGAAGGAATGAGCTGGGTTTGATTTCTCTTCCCGAGTACAAGAATGCCCCTGAGGAATTTCACACTCTGTGAAAGTGCAAAACTAATTTCCCCAGACAAGCACTGTAGCCGGTTCCCAACAGGGCTTGGCAAGATCCCAGCAGGAATGTTCAGCGGTTTCCAAATCTCTTTAACCCAGCAGCTGCACACGTAGACTGCTGCGTTAGGAGACCCCTTTGGCCATCCCTGACCCCTTGGTGGGAGGACCCAGGTCCTTCCCAGACAGGTCTTTCTTCTGGCGTATTTCAGTCTTCCATATTAGGGAGATTTTGGACCTCAGCCAGTGAATGCACAACCACAGACTCTTGCCCAGGCGCTGCGCATAGAATTTCCCTTCATTCAAATAGGTCGGCGCAAAAGCTGACCTCCTTATTGTCCCTTATTCCTCCAGCCTCTGGGCCACTGCCTTCCTCAAAGGGACAGAAAATAATGCTCTTATCTAGAAGGGATGGGACAGACTTGGGGGTGAGAAAGTCAAGAATTGTAAGAATACTGATTTGGAAATCCCTTTCTAAAGGGATTTTCAGGGACAAAATCTGAATCTTAACATTCAATCCTCTTTTTATTGTTTGGGAATGGGTCAAGTCCAACATCATCCAGTAGTAATGGATTTTCCAGATAAACAAAAACTGGCAATTTACCTTAAACATTTTGTCTTTTTGGGGGTGTGAAGAGCGAAAGTCCCTTCCAATTGGATGATCCTGACAGCTACAACAAGCCCAGAGTTCTTTCTTCCCCTCATTATTGTGAATCACTTGATCCCAAGATTCAATTTAAAAAACAAAAATGACCTGAAAAACTGGTAAGCATTATCCAGTGGGTCCGTTGCCAGACAGTCACTGTCGTTTGTTTAATCCAGCATTTTCCTGTGAACAGTGGAGAATTATGTCACTATGGGATTTTCATTGTAAGAGATGCTTCCTAAGTATGGCCTAGCTAGCTCAGTCATCATTAGCAGCGCTCTTATGAGCTGAAGGAATGACAACTAGAAAGGACAGGAAAGAATGCAAGTGTTGGACCTAGAACATTCCCAAGCCCTGCTTCCGAGGGCCCAGAACTGCTGTCAAATTGATATCACCAGGACAAGGATCTGGGGTCCGAGGACATGATGTCAGGGAGCTGTCAGGAGCTGCCAGGATGTCAGAAGTGTCTGAGCAATGGTCTCTGGCTGGAGAAGCAAGCCATTTACTATTGTGGGACCTGGTATGGAAGTTGGAGTCAGGAGGTCAGGATCCAGGTGAGAGTGGGAGAAGGTGACCTCTGATGAATTCATGTTGGGTTCCTCACTGCTGGATACCCCCAGTACCTTTATAGAGTGGGATCTCAAGACGTGTTTGTGGAGTGAAGGCACTGAAAACATGGCAGAAGGTGTCAGGAAGGACAAAAAAAGTCCAAGAATTTAGCAGGAAGCAGCCTGGGACTGCCCAAGCTCTCTTGAATTGGGTGATGAGGAAAATTCTTCTTGTTTAAAAACAGAGAAATAGAGCCAGAACTATTAAGTGACAAGTCTCATGAGGTCCTTGCTGCCTTGATTTCTCTGTCTGAAAAAGCCACCAGTTGGTGATTTCAGAGCTAAGCATTATTCTATGGTAACCAAGTAATGTGACATCATCAACAGTTGCCTTACCTTGACTGAATTTCCAGACCAAACATCTGGAAAAGTAGGAGTCTGACAGAGTGACAGACTCAGAGGACAGGAAAATCCCCCTAGATTGCATTTTAAGACCATAAGCACAGTGGTGGCCCAGATGGTTAGAGGGTGGAGGCATTCACTACAAGTGCGATTGCGTTCCCACATCTATTCAGCAAGTGCAAATTCTAGACACTATACCCAGCCTGGCCCAGACAGAGCTCTTATTCTAAGGGCTTATGCTCTAAATTCCTTGTGGAAAATCTGTCTTTGAAATGTTTAAAGCACCTCATTTAATCCTCATTTCCACTTCAAGTCATGTCCCTCCTTCCTGAGAACCCACCACATTTTAAGTTTGTAGCTGGCTTTCCTTCTGTTTTTGCTATTTATGTGCCAATTTAAAGGGTGGGGAGAGCCACATTAATTTTAAAATGAAACGCAAATAGCAAAATGAGACTTGGTTAAAGCAAAAACCACAGAAGGGATTTTTTTTTCCTCCCATATTTTTCAGATTTTCCTAGAACCACCTTTATTTCCTTAGAGCCCAGACATAGAAAGTGAGTGGGCCTCTCCAGATGCTCTTCCAAGTAGAAGCGAAAAACCTTGGTCCTAGTCTCTAATAGCACCTTTAGGGTTTGTTTTTCTGTTTCAGATATTTGAGTCCCAAAGTGGAGCCCAGAAAGCTAGTCAGTCCTCAGTTCAATGGGGCACTCTAGTTAGTTTAAGGTTGTATATCCTACCTCTTTTGATCAGTGTGTCTCCTTGTACATCCTGGTGACGGGGACATGACTTAAAATGTAAATACTCCTGGTGGAATCCCAGCTTTGCTACTTACCAGTTTCCTGACACAGTCACCCATCAGGTAGGAACGATACCCAGACCTCTCAGAGCTGTAGTGAGAATCAATGAGTTAAGACATATAAAGGGCTTGGCCCAAAAGAAGCCTTCAATAGGCGGTAGCTATTATGAAAATAGAACCTTTCATCTGTCTACTCCTTCTTAACCACCACCACCCCTCTAATTTTGGAGAAAGAAAGAAAATTCGTTATCTATTCCAAGAGGATGATTCGATTCGTCCCCATTTTAAATCACCCAAGGGCCCACCGGAAGGGAAGACAAGGTCGAGTTGGATTTGCGAACTCCAGGGCCTTTTAATGGAATGGGATCAGTATCTCGCCTCTCAGCAGGAGGTGAATCAATCCGTGGTGCAGGGCGTGGGGAAGCCTTGGAGGCAGATGGTGGGGTGACAAAAGCGCAAAAGATGGGGAAGCGAAGTCAGGTAAAGCAGATTCAGTACTGTCGGGAGGGCTCTGAGGCGTGCCAGCCCCCGGGAAGAAAGCTTCTTGATCCAGGGTTGAGTCCAGGCATCCGTAGGTGGAGGTATGCCTGCCCCTAGGTCTGGTGACCGTGGGACTCTAGGCGCGTGCGGCAGCGCCCTCTGCCGGCTACGCGGGGCAAACCCTGGGCCAGGCTCCGCGGCTCCGCAAGTGGGACTCTGGATCCCTCCCTCTGCATCCGCCCCCGCTCCATCCCTTCCCAGGACCGCGCGCCGGGTCCAAGACGAGATTCCCGCAGATGCGTTCCTTTTCTAAACCAGAGGGCCAAGCAGGGACGATGCTCGGAAACACTCGATGCACCAGGGGATCGGAGGCCACAGGAACTCACCCAAACCTATCAGGGGCTGCGCCTCTTGGGACCAGGGGCCAAAGCCTGCTGGGCTATCGGAGGTGGTTTGGAAGTGGCATCGCCTATGGCCAAGACCGCGGGTTCTGCGGACAGAGAGGAGCCCTGGGTTCGCTTTCTGCCTCATCCATTTTCCAGCTAGGTGACCTTGGGCAAGGTACTTACATTCCCATGTGCCTTAGTTTCCTCATCTTTAAGATGGAGAGGATGATCCCGACCATAATGGGTGGACATGAGAATTACATGGGATCAGACAACCTGGGTTGGAATTCTGGCACTGGCATCAGCTAGCTGTGTGCCCTGGGGCAAGTTATTTAACCTCTCTGCCCCGGTTTCCTGCAAAATAGGGATAATAACGGTACTTACCTCCGAGGGTTGTTGCTTGCAAAGCGCTTAACCCAGTGCCTGGCACAGAGTAAGCGCTCAATAAATGGTAGCTATTATGGTTGTTGTCGTCATTATTGTTCTTAAGGGCGCTGAGCACACGAGCAGAGCTCTAGCTGGTGGCTATTATTAGTCTTTTTTTCGGGTCCAGCTATTTCTTTCCGGGCATTGTTAAAATCTTTTACCATGCGCTCGCGTCCTTATCAGTAGTCGAAGGACAGCCAGCCTTCCCGAATTTGGAAAATCGAGGTTCCCCTGGAGGAGGGCCAAGGACGCGGCGGTGGGTTGCAAGAACCGGGACCTCCCGGGAGGAAGCCCGCGCCCCGCCGCCTCCGCCCGTGCCTCCATTAGCGCGCGTCAGAGCCGCAGTGACGTAGCCGGGCCCTCGGGCCGGGAGGCGCGGCGAGGGGAGGCGCGGCCTGGATGCGCGGGGAACCTGGGGTGGTGACGATGGCTCAGGCTGTCCTGCAGCGCGCAGGAGGCGCCCGGGGCCATACTCCAGCCGCGCGGGTGCGGGGCTCTCCAATGCTGCTAGAGGGTAGGCGGAAGGCCCTACTTCGGTGGGCTCTTCCGCGCCTGCCTGCGCCTGGTGCCACTCGGGGCTCCGCCTGCAACCCCGCCTGGAGACCCGAGGTGACAACACCGGCTCCGAAGCCCGGGGCCCTCCCAGCACGCAGCGGGCAGACCGCCCGGAGGCCGCTTGGAGTCTGCATGGTCCTTCTCCTCCCTGCCCTCTCCTTCCCCTACCCGCCCCAATCCCACTCTTCCTTGTCCCCAGGTGGTCCGCTCATTTCCTTCTCCCTCGGCCCCGTGGACCAGCTCCTTTGCTGTCAGTGGTTGGTATCCACCCACAGGAGGCGCCTCCCACTCCTCTGCGCCTGCGGTCCCCGGAACGCCCATCTCATCGCTTGCGGGAGAGTTCCACTTGGCTTGCCCCGCACGCACCTCCAACTCGCTGTGCCTTGCCCTAGTATTGTCCACCTCAGTGATGGCGTTGCCACCCTCCCCATCGTCCTAGACGCCTCGCGTTCCCTCCTAAATCCCTCTCCAGGCATTCTCCAGCCGCATTCCAGCTATCCTCATTCAGACCTTGTAAAGCGTCCCTCCCCCGTGGGCTGGTAACATTTGCTTCTCAAAGGTTTCCGTGTCAGCACTGCTGCCTCCTCCACATCCACCGCACATGCGGGGCGGGGGCCGGAGTGCGCTACCTGTAACCCATCTCTGGCCACGACTCTCTTAAGGCAGACCAGCCTGGGACTCTGATCCTCCTTGTCTTCATGGACACTTACGTCTGCCATTTTCTAACACTTTATGATCTGGAGCGTCACACTAATTGAGATCTTCAGTGTCTTCGTTGTTGTTAGGTCATATCCAGGGAATTCACATCTCCTTCCCTCCCCCAGTGGGCTTCCTCTTACTCACTCCTGAACTCAAGATGTGAGTCACCTTTACAAGGACGCCCCCACCTCCTGTTCTGCCTTGTGGCTGAGTGTAGTGTCTCTGGGCTTCCTGTTATTTGTCAGGTTCTGGGAAGAGAGGCCTGATCCTTCAGGATGGCCTGTGGTCTGTACAGGGTCAAATCCAGCCCCTTTCTCCCTCTGCCATGGCCACACAGGATCTTTCTATCTGCTCTTCTTTCATTCCACTCTTTCCGATTCACCTGCTCCAGCCCATCCCCAACTCATCAAATCCTCCTCTGGTAGCTCAAAGTGGAAATTTTAAAAATTAAACCATTAAAACCTCCAGGGAGTAATATAAACATCTGTTTATCCTTCTCGCCTTCTCCTCCTTTCCCTTTGTCAAAGTTTAACAGTTGCCCTGCTTAATTCAAATTTATTTATTTTGCCTCTGAGCTACATCTTCAGCAATCCATCCTTTTTTAAGTTGCCCAGGCTGGCCTTGACCTTGCCATCCTTCCTGCCTTAACAGCCTCCTGAGTAGCTGGGATTACAGGCAAGCATACGGTACCACACCTGGCAAATGTAGGTCTTTTTCAAAGGTCATAAAACCTTCCAGATCTAGGTGGAGTCCTCTGAATTCATTTCTGTTTCCTATGGTAACCAGTTTCCTGCATTTGGGGCTCATCATTCCTATGTATGCTTTTGTGGGCATTGTTATTATTATTATTATTATTATCATCATCATCATCATCATCATCATCATCATCTTGCAGTGCTAGGGATATAACCCTGGGCCTTATGTATGCTAGGCAAATGCTTGCTTTTGTTTTTTTACTATATATCTTTGTGCCTGTAAGTACTTTATGGAATTGTTTGGCATGTTTCTAAACTTTGAAGAAATGGCATTATACTGAATGTATGATTGTGCATCTTGCTTTTTTTTATTCAGCTGTAGGATTTTTAAATGTATCCACATTGATACATGAGTTCAATACATACATTTTCACATACATTTTAGGTTCCATTATACAAGTTCAGCATACTGTGTTTACCAGCTGCCTCTGGAAGATATTCCGCTTTAAACAATTTTTTTTTATTAAAACTGATGCTACTATTGCTATTTTTTATACCTATCCCCGTGTGTGAAAGTGAGTCTTCCGGGGAGGTGCTTGGGTGTGCAATTGCTGGGTTCAGGACTTGGGAACTGGCAGCTTTGTAGTCATGGCTAAATGGTTTTTCAAAGTGGTTGTACTGATTCACAGTTCGAAAGCAAGACATGAGAGTTCCCATGCTCCGCAGCCTCAACAACACTTGGTAATGTCAAACCTCAAGTTTTTTGCCAAGCTGATGGGTGTGAAATGACATTTCAGTGTTTTAATTTGCAATTCCCTGTTTACAAGTGAGAGAGACAGATCATACTTTCTTTGTTTATTGGCCATTTGCCTCTCCTCTTAAGTTGCCCATTGGCTTATTTGACGGTGTTTCTATTGGACCATCTCTTACTATGTGCAGGAGTTCTTTATACATTCTGGATACTACTCCTTTGTCAGGCTGTGGCCCGTCTGCTGTCTTTTCTTCCACTCCATTGCAATTTTAAACTGGTGTGATTATGTGAGTTAATAGCTGGCTTTTCTACTACTCTGTAAGCACCATGAGGAGAGGGACCTGCCCCTGGGACCAAGTGCAGTGTCTATCTCATACCAGGGACTCATTAAATACTTGCAGACTGAAATGTATTGACAATTGACATCATTCATTTTCTAAACATGTCTGCCTCCCTGACTGTCACCCTCAGCATCCCACAAAGCTATCAACCCCTTGAGAGCGGGACTCTGATCAAATTTTGCTCATCTTTGTATCTCCAACACCTGTCACAACACAATGCCTTTGGCACGGATTATACTATCAGTCTAATTAATTAATTTTTTGTGCCCCTCCCTCCACCCCAAATCCTTCTCAACCTATCTTCTATCTTCATGCTCAGTTAGATTACCTATAAGATGACCTGTCTGGTGGCCCAGGCCTGTAATTTTAGCAACCCTGGAGGCAAGGATTGCAAGTTTGAGGCCAACCTCAGCAACTTAGTGAGATCCTTAGCAACTTAGTGAGACCTTGTCTCAAAATAAAAAGATAAAAAGGATGGAGGGCGGGCATGACTCAGTGATAAAATGCCCCTGCGTTCAATCCCTGGTACTAAGAGAAAGAAAAAAAAAAAAAAAAGATTGCCTATAAGCAAATGAATAATAAAAACCTCAGGTATCTGTGAGAATCACATAACATGATAGATGTGTAAGCACATCTCTGGCTCTCAATAAGTGGTGACTTTCAGCGTTCTCACAGTAATCATTTTGGTCACTAAAGATACATTCTGCTTAATTTTAACAGAAAGTTCTTTCAAAGAGAGAATAAAAGTGAACCTCCTGAAGATCTGGTGACCGAGTTTTTTTTTCTCTTCCTTTTATTGGCATTTGACCCACAATATAAGGCTCAGTCCCAATGCAATCTCTGAAAAGCATCAAATATCATTCTTCTCCTTTTCTTTTATAAATTCCAGACATATCAAAGGCATATGAACCATACATAGATTTCAAACCTCTAAGTGGAAACATATAAAGGCCAATTCTACATCTTTGGCCAGAAGTCAGAGAGCAAAAGGAGGTCTGTTAGTGATCCTAGAGTTGGGGGGTGGGGGCGGCTTGACGGCAGCAGCCCGGGACAAAAGCAGAACACTTACATCTGTTTCCCACATCTGCCATTGATTGTGTGACCTTTGATCTATTTATAAAATGAAGATAATAATTCTTGCTCTTTCTGGAGGTTGAAATTCATTAATGACTCATTTAAAAATGCTTTGAGATCCTTGTCATGAAAGGCAGTTTATGTTTATTTAGACAGAGCTCCCCAAAGGTAAATGGGCCTGCAGCAGCATCTGTCCCCACAAACATGAGAATGCAATCTCTGTGTTGCCCAAAGTGAGGCCCCGGAAGGTGAGTCTGTTCCTTGAGTTGTAAGTTACCAACAGACAAGAGGAAAGCCCAGGAGGGCGGTCCTTGTTGGGTGCACAAATCCCCTTCCTCTGTGGCCCCGTGTTTGAAGGAATGATAAATCTCAGGGCAGCCTTATTTGATCAAGATGTAATCCTGTGCAGAGGCCTGTCGTCTCCCGGGTTTCATCTCTGCATGAGGGAAGCAGGTGGCTCCTCGGGGCCCACTGTGATATGAGTCCACCAGAGAGAATAATTAGCATGGCCACTGCTGGAAGCGGCTCTCGCCAAAAGGGCCGAAAGAAACTTGGCTGGAGAAGGTGGCAGACCCCAGAAAGCCCTTCTGGAGGCTGAGTTTCTTTCTCCAAGAGCCTAGGAGGGGGGGCTTTAAAAGCAGCTTGATGACCCTGTGCCACGGCACCCTAGCATTGATCTGGCCCCCACTGTGGCCATGGGAACCGGACACACTGTGTGGTGGGGACAGTGACCTTGAGCCTGAAGATCACACTTTAAAATCCAACTGCAGTGGTAAAGCACCTGCTTAGCATGCAGGAGGCCCTGGGTTCAATCCCCAGCACCACGAAACAAACAAACCAAACCAATCAACACTAATAACTCCCCCAAAGTCACAAAATATGGCTGGGTTTAGTGGCCCACACCTGGAATCCCAACTACTCCAGAGGCTGAGGCAGGAGGATCACAGATTGGAAGCCAGCCTGGGCAATTTAGTGAGACCCTGTTTCAAAATAAAATTTAAAAGGGGCTGGGGATATAGCTCAGTGGTAGAGTATTTGCCTAGCATGTGCTAAGGCCCTGGGTTCCTTCCCAGTACCAAACAAAAACAAAAACAAACAAACAAAATAAACAAACAACA